TCATTCCTTTCTCACTTCCACTTACAGCAAGTGACTGGATTGCGTGGGCTGTTCCCAGCTTGTGGAAGGCCAAGGCCTACCATCTGGAAAGTGATCTCCCACTATGAGGTTTAAAATGGGTCCTGAAGATGAGTTAGAGGTGTTGAGTGGCGGCACAAAGGATGTGATTGAGTGAGAGACTAAATAGAGGAAGGACTAATTGAGAGGAGTGCATGGAACTCGCCTAGCAAAATAACCCAGGCAAAACCCTTTCTAGATATGGGAACCAAGTTTGGGTAAAGTGAGAGAGAGAGACTGGCTGGGGCAGGGATTTGAGCCCAACAACCAAGGCCTTGAGTGTGAGGACAAGACATTTGGGGTTTTTCCCCAAGAAGCAGGGAAGGGGGGGGGGGTTGTAGGCAAGAGAAAGTAGCTTATGTCAATAAGTAACGATTACCAGCATTTACTGAGCACTTGCTGTGTTGCCAGGTAGTGCTCTGATTTAATTCATTTATCCTCACTCAGCCCAGTGAGGTGGATATAAATAATATTATTCCTATTACTCCCATTTTGCAGACGAGATAAACCGGGGCATAGAAAAGAGAAATTACCCAATATTTTACAGCTAAAAAGTAGTGTTGGGGGGAACCAACAGTTAGTGTAATGGCTATGTCTCTGGACTCCCGCGGTTCGCTTTCTGTCTCTATGTCTGTCTGGCGAGTGCACGTGCCCTATAGTGGGGGAAAAAAAAAACAAAAAACCTCTCCCCCCGCAAAAAAAAAAGTAGTGTTGGGCACATGGTAGGTACTCTGAAACAGTTCATTGAATGCATTCTTTCCTTTCTTAAACTTCTTCCCTCCATTCTCTCCACCCACTCCCAATGCCCCAGGCCCACGGTTTCCATGGTCGAAGGTCAGGGCGAGAAGAACGTGACCTTCTGGGGTAAACCACGGCCACTATGTGAGGAGCTGCAGGGGCAGAGGCTGGTGGTGGAGGAGAAACGACCATGTCTACACGCGCCTGCCTGCAAAGACCCTGAGGAGAAGCCTTAAAACTTCTCCCTTCCATTCTGACCCCTGCCCTCCATCCAAGATCTCAATGAACCAGCCTCTTCAGGATCTTCTAAAATTCCTTAAAGGAGAGAAAGCAACCTATCCCCTTCCCCAACAGTGGGGAAACAGCATCTTCTAGGGCAAAAGGCACTGCATGGGCCAAGTCACAACTGCCTTCCACTGTGGCCATAGTTAGATATGAGAGAACAGACAGCCCCATCCTTCCTTCGCTGCTACAGTAACCTGAATGTCTAGGCCCCCAAACCCAGCTGGTGCACCAGGGCTGTCCAGCACGTCCCTCTGCAGAGCTCCGCGTTACGGGTTTCCTGATTGGCTACTTGTCCTGGCAGGCACTCCTTGGTTGGCCAGCTTGCTAGTTAGTTGCCTCATCCCGCCTCTTGAAGCTCTCCATGTTCCCACCCTGCTGGGCCGATTTCCCGTCAATCAAGAGCAAGTGCCATGGAGGAGTGGCCGGGCTTGGCACCCTGCTGCTGCAAGCACCTGCACCCACCCACTCTTAACAGCCCAGCTCCCACGCTGCAATTACCAGCGACAAATAGCTCCGCGAGGCGGGGGGCGGACCAAGGAAGTGCCTATGATGTTCTTTGAACTGGGGCAAGAGTAAAGAGAAGCTAGAGTTTGCATCTGCCTTAACTAGCCCCCAGGACAAACCCAGACACATTTCTTTAACATTTTTTCGTTCTCTTAACGTTTATTTGCGTCTACTGTATACTAGAGCTAAGTCCATATACGTAGGATGGAGGAAGGTTGGTAGAAGGAAAGGACCTCTGAATGAGGAGACAGACTCAGAATAAGTATTTCTTCCGTATGAACATTTTATTCAACACTTAACGCCTACTGTATACTAACAATAGTGCTGGACATCATGGGGAAAGGGAAGAAGAGGAATCAGAGCCATATCTCTACAGCGAAGAGAACAAACCCATACACCAGTGTGTTAGCCTTTGCTCCTTAGTTTAGCACTTAACTAAACGCTGAGTCCCTTGTGGTGAGAAGCATCATAGGAATCATAGTAATTATGGTAATAGCTAATACTTTGAAAGTACTTGTCACATGCCTACTAGTATTTTAAGGCTCTCCATAGCATGAACTCATTTAATCCACAACAAACCCATGAGGGACAGTATTCTTAATATCACCATTTTACAAAAAACAAAACAGGTTACAGACAGGTAGTAGGCAGCATGGCAGTAGCAGAGTTCAGGATTGCTGTGGGTGAAGGGGACCCCTCTGGGAATATTTGAGGGGGGGATTGGTGGCACTGGGAGTCTTGTCATCACACTCAACTTCTCTGGGTCGAGTTCCCCTTATCTAAAAATGAGCCAGTTGTTGGGGCCAGCGGGTGGTGTGGTAGTTGAGATGCTGAATTCCACATGGCCAACCCCAGTTCGAGTCCCAGACCTGTCACCTTGCTTTCTCACTTTCTCTCTCTCTTGCACACATGCCCTATAGCAAATTTAAAATTTTAAATAATAAAATTAAATAAATAATTGTTTTTTTAAAAAACTATCTTGTTGGGCCAGCAGGTGGTGTGGTGGTTAAGGTACTGGATCCCACATAGCCAACTCTGCAGTTCGAGTTGCAGATTCAGTGGCTTGAAAAAAGCACTGGACGTGGGACTAGCAGTTGGCATAATGGCTGTGTCACTGGACTCCCATGTAGTCAACCACAGTTTGAGTCCCAGACCTGGTGGCTTAAACGCATGCTGGGCACATGTGCATCCATGCCCAAGATCCTGAGAGCAGAATGGAGAAGGGATTGCAGCGTGGCCATTCCCCCTGGGGGGCGATTTCTCACTTTCTGTCTCTCTGTCTTTCTGGTGAGCACATGTGCCCTATAACATAAACATCTAAAAAAAAAAAGAAGAAGAAAGAAAGAAAGAAAAGAAAAAGAAAAACACACTGGATGCATGTGCATGTGTGCCCAAAATCCTGAAAGGAGACTGGAGGAGAAGGGATTGTGATGCAGCAATCCCCCCAGGGTGCTTTCTCACTTTCCCTCTCTCTGTCGCTGTCCCTGGTAAGCACATGAGCCCTATGGCAGAAATGAAGTGGAAGATGACTGTAGGTGTGAATTGTGTAGCACATATTTGTGTGTATGTGTGATATGCAGACCTGTGGGACTGTGCAAGAATAAAGATGTATTGAATTATGTGGAGTGTATATGAGTTTACAACTGTGTGTGCACACATTAAGTAACATGGATATATGAGCACACATGTGCACACAACACTGAATGTGAACATATGTCGGGAGCATGTGTTTGAGAGTCGTTGCTCTCAATGCACAACAAAGAAAATCATTCCTAGGGGCCAACCAGGGGCATGGTGGTTAAGGTGGCCAGATCCCACATGGCTGACTAAATGATTCAATTCCCACACCTGGCAGCTTGAAAAACACACCAGGCACAGTGCATTTGTGCCCAAAATCCTGAGAAGAGAATGGAGGAAAATGGATTGTGGCATGGTCACCCCCTCTACCTCGGGAGGTACGCTCTCTCCCTCTCTCTCTCTCTCTCGTGCACACCTGATAGCAAATTTAAAAAGAAAATAATTCTTGGAGC